TATTACTTTCATTTTGTAATAGTTTGCAAGAACAGGAATACTGGAAGTTGGAACTGAGAAGAAATTTTAGAGACTGTTTAAGTGCTTTAACAAACAGAAAAGAATTATTTTGCAATTAGTATAGTTTTCTGTCTAATGCAAAACTGCCTGCTAAGGTAGCACTTGAAAAGATTTGTTGGGCTTTCACTCTTAAGTAGTTTAAAATTTTGTTTTATTATTCTATTAACTTGTATTAGTGTAACACACTTTTTAATAATACAAAATAATGTAAGTTCATGTTGTTTGATAATTTCAAACATATTAATGTAATTTAGCCTCTTTTGTAAAGGTCACAGTATTATTTCTTTTGGGGACATCTTCTGACCTGAGAAAAGATACACGGAGGTAATAAAAGCTGTTCCTCATTGAGAATTGACCAAATACCAGCCACTGTTTTTACTGCTTTACACGTTTTACACTATTTAATCCCTTTAACACCCATATCAATTGGGTTCAAATATGATCCTCTTTTCATAGATTAGGATACCAAAGTTTAGGGAGATTATTTCTCTAGGATCACTAGTTGGTAAATGGCAGAGCTGCAACTTGTGGACTTGACCCTGGGCACACTGGCTCTATGCCCACCGTCGGTGCCACCACAGTAGACTGTATTATGGAGAAATGTGGCACTGGAGATGATGAATCTCACAGCCTTCCTCTCTCAAAATTAAATGGTGAAAAATATTGTAAAAAAAAAAAAGGTAGAGATCTCTGAAGGCTTCATTGGGCTATTTTTTTCCCAGTGTGCTTTAGATAATGGGCCAGATTAAAGGTAAGTTGATGTCCGAAGATTTCTTCCATATCTGTAATTCAGTATCTTGGTTCACAGCTGTTCTGACCTAAGGAAAAATTTAGACAACAGTACCTTTTCTCACCTTGCACCCCATCAGCTACTTCTGTTTTCAGCATTGGCACCCAGTTCTCTTTCTAACAAGTCAGACTGCTATTAAGTGCAGTTCAGTGGAAAGAGCACTGTGGTAATGCACAATAGTGTACAGAAGCCTCTCATTTTTCCCCACTAGCCATTCTCTATCTTGCTAATATAACCTCTTGAGTTTTAACTGCATAGTGGCTGCTTGGCAAAACCACATTTTCCTGCCTTCTTTTTAATTAGATATGGCAGTATGACTAACTTCTGATCAAAATAATCAAACTTAAGTGAAATACTTAATCGAAGTCACATCTTTCAAAAAGAAAGTGCTTATTTTCCTCTTCCTTTTTTTCCCCCTTTCCTTTTAGCTGGAAAAAAAACCAGATATAAATGGTGCAACTGCCTTGATCTAGAAATCAAAGCTGTATATTGAGAATGGCAGGGTCAACCTGTCTGCCCTAGAGCATTCTGTACCATACAGCTAAATGAGGGAAAATATGTCCTTCTATGTCATTTAAATGATGTGCTTTAAATCTATATTATTTAAACCATGTGTTTTAAATCTTGTATTACTTAAATCATGAATTCTTTGTTATAACAATGAAGCCAGTATCCTAATGTAAAAATTGGGATCTGAAAGTGGGGTACTGCCACAATACAAACCAAAATAGGTGGTACTGGATTTGCCATCAGATCGTAAGAGGTAAGGGGACAATCTGAAAAGCTGGTGGCTCTTGTTATACTGGGGCACAGCATTTAGTAAAACAGTTACCTGTGATAATTTTAGAGGTAGGCCACATCTTTACTGGAACTGAAGCTCCAGGGTAAGTGGTTAGCAAGTCAAAATGTTGGTGTACTTTTGCACATCCTTTCTACTTTTAGTAAGTAACTAGGACGGAAATGGATTCAGTCAATTTCTAGCTAATTTACAAGTGAAAGTGGAAGGGAACAAAACCCTTCTAAGGGAGCACTCTCCAGTACATTAATCAAAATAAGCAACGACCTTAAAATACAAAGATGATCTTTTTCACAGGAAGGTTTGGTTTTGGTCATAAAACCTGTGTCAGGAGTCATTAAAGAGCCCACAGTAATCATCATTTGAAGTCAAGATATTATGTGGATTAGAAATAGGCCATCTCAAGTTGAATGAACAGAGTGATTAGCAACTTAATTTTTTTTTAAATTTTACCACCTGCTAGCTTTTTTGGGTAATACAATAGTCCAAGGGATAATTTGTTGGAAATAAAAGGAGATATCAAATTGGTTAAAAAAAGAAGAAATGTTAACGTCTTTTGTGTGACAAAAACACTAAGATTGTTTTGGTGCCAACAAAGAAATCAAGTTGACGGCAAGTTCAGTAATTTGTACCTTAGAAGGTTAGAAAAACCAAATCTGATCCCCAAATAGAATAGAGAGGGTTGTTGAGAGACTTTCTAGAAATTGCCATAGTAAATGTTCTTCATCAGAAAACTGGAGCCACCAGCATCGAAGGTTAGTTGAAAGACATCTTCCTATCCAAGCTACTATTTCAGATGGCCTCAAGATAACTGCTGTTAAATTGAGGTAGGTGGAGGAGTAGTCTGAGCCCAGAAACTAGCATATAAATGAAAGCCTGACATTGTGAAACTATTAACTGGAGAAGATCCTTTCACTTTTTGTTACTTCATATGGAGCTGACCAGAATCAAAGTGATGAAAAGACATCTGACTAACCACAAAGCCTGGCCTACAAAAATATGGCCTGTGTGGTTGCTGAGCCTCTAAAACAGCTTCTGTTTCACAAAGGCTATATTAGAGGTATAAGGCCGCAAAGACATATTCTTCAGCCCCATTTTCATTTGTGGCCACAGAAAAAATTACAAGGAGGCAAAGGAGGGACTGCAGAGGCCACTAGACTAAAAAGTAATGTCCAGAACCCATGCAAACAGTGGGCTAACCGAGGAACTTATACAGCATGGAGCCTTCAAAACTCACAGGAGCAGGATTTGAGGACTTGTTTCTCCTTTTTCCTTCTTGTGCATTTGCGTTTTTGTTGTAGTTATATTGTTCCTACCGTCTCATTGTATAGTGAGTGTGTATGTGGAGAGCTTGTGTCGTATAGTTTATAAGTCACAAGTTCACAGGTAGCTACTTTCTGGAAAGTACTGTGTTTCACCAAGATATGTGGACTTTTTTTTGGCTGTAACTCTAGATTCTCTCCTCTGGAAAAGGCATGGGAATGTTTCAGGTGCACAATGAAGATGTGTACTGATATATGGGTGACACTGATATATGGGTGATTTATGGGTGGTGGTGACACCCTGTGACTGCCAGCTGTCCTAAATATCCTTTCTTCTCTCCTTTATTAATAGACTCATTACTGATACAACATGAATGGTTAGGTAGAGACTCTATTTCCCATCCATCTTTGAAAGTAGGTGTGCACATATGATTGAGATCTGGCCAACGGAATGTGAGTTGATGTGATACGTGCAATTTCTGGTCACACCATTAGAAGTTGCTTACTATTCCCTTTTCCTGCTCTGCCTGTCTGCTATGTGGGGCATGAACTCAAGTGGATTTGGAACAACTAAAGCTTTGTCACAAGTAAAGCTTTCTTACAGCATCTTAGCCTTTACCTGAAACATTAGTAACTTCTGTCCATGTGACTTCATTTTAACTGGCCTTATTTTAATTAAACTTGTGGCCAGACCTTACTGAGCTTGTCTCCAAAAGGAAATAATTTCTCTTTCTATTCTCCTGATTGTGCATGTGATTCCTATGTGATAAATATATTCTAAGAACTCTGAAAACATTTTACCATATACAATTTAACATCATTTTAATGAATTACAGTTTAACCACTTTAAAGATGATATAGAAACACATAATAGGACTACGGGTTTTCCTCATATTGAACTATTCTTTTCCTGAGACCCAATCATACAATTGTTGATGTCATTTCTTATGAATTACTCAAAAGAAATATAAGTAATATAGACCAAAATGTTCAAAATGTTACTCATTTCTTAACAAGAAAAGATATAAAAGCTCCATAATAGAAGAGTAATTGAGGAAACAATGATATGTCACCTTTATAAAACACAGCCCAATCAAGTGGTGTTAGATGTATTACTTTGGCCTTCTGGATTCTCCCTGTTCTGTGCCACTGAAGGTGACCTGCTTGGACTTTATTAGCAGATTTCCCTTTCCTCTGGTGATGGCAAGGAGAAATGCTAGCAGGGGATCAGAGGGAAGGAGGCGAATGAGGCATGGTTTCCTCTTTGCAGGATCACTGCAACCTGTTCGGCCCCTCAGCCCAAAATCTCTGCACAGAGCACTTCCATCTCTGGGTTGAGTAACCATTCCTAACCTTGTCTCTTCAGCCCTTGGGTCAGGCAGGAGCAGCACCCTGGTTACTAGCCGTGGGATATTGTACTATCCTACATCTAGCCCACATCTTTATAAATTGTCCCTTTATTGATCTCTAAATTTCCTAATTTGACTGTGCCGTCTATTTTCTCCTGGGACCCTGGCTGGTACAATCATTATAATATAAAATGTGGTATGTAAGGTTAAGATCAAAAAGAAAGAAACCAGTGGAATACTATGTTACGGTGATAAGATTAAAGGTGAATATATTTTCTTCCTTAATTACATTTGCTGTTAGGTTAGAGTTAGTTTATTAGTCAAAAAAATGTAAAATTGTTGCTAGGATATTTTGTCAAGGTGGATTTTCTTAGCTTTGCTTTACTACCTCGATAAGAATGAATCATTAATGTTTTGAATTTATGTAAATCACCCTAATCATCTGCTTTATCTTTTACTGCTCCTGTGCCACAGAGAATTGCTAGAAAAAGTTTTGGAAGCAGGCTGTCTTGATTTTAGTCAAGGCTTTTCATTTCAAGCAAAGGAAACAGACTCTAGCTGATCAACAAGAGGAGTTTATTAGGTGTATATCAGGAATTAACAGAATTGGTGTGAAAAGAACAAGACTCAAGAACAAAGCGCAAGACTAAGCTTCCAGAAGTGTGCTCCAAGCTGCAAAATGTCCTAATATAAAGACTTGTATAACTGTCACTGAACTCTTGATTCTATGTTTAACCCTACAGATGCAAAGATATTAGACTTTCAAACTCAGCTATTCAACGCCATTCTTTGCTGTATATGGCTGCCCTGCCAGCCACCACGGCCTGGCAAGGCCAAATGGCTCTGCACCATTCTTGCTGCAATGTGGACCCTGAGTGTACTCCATCCTCACATGACTCCCTCTTCAGCCAGAATCCCACTCCAGCTGGTATGTGTGGTGGAGACTTCTGATATGTTTGCATCTCAGCCCCAGGAACATGGGAAATTGAATTCCAACTTTTGTTTTTGAGGAAATAGTACATGGGTATTCCTCCAATATGCAAGGTATATTAGTTTGCTACAGCTGCCAGTACCACAAATTGAGTGGCTTAAACAATAAAAATGTATTATTATTATTTTTTGTAATTCTGAGCATTAAAAACCCAGATAAGGTGTCCGCAGGGCTGGTTCTTCTGAGGCTTCTCTCCTTGGCTTGTATCTGTCAAGCTTGTAGACAGAGAAATTCAAGGTAATGAGATAGATGATAGAATTCCAGTGAAGGTGCAGATCATTACTGTTGAGAAAGCTGAAGTGTGAGGCTGGGGTATTAAAATATTTTCTACATAACTCTGAGATATACTTCACAGAATGATAGAATGGATTTTGTTGGCTGGCAAATAATAAAACAGACTTCAAAATAATGAATGTGAGTAAGTGACCAGGAAGTTAGTAAAACTGAGTGGTAGAAAAATGTGTAGGAGGGTGAGTTAGTTGTATGTCAGTTCCTTCGCAGGGAAGATGGGAAAGTGGAGGGGAAGTGCCAACAACACCTTGTCGTCATAGGCAGGACATGAGGAAAGCACGGTGTTGTTTCGAGAGTACTACAAGGGAGGCAATGGCTTGAAGGAAAGATCAGGTTTTAGAGCAAAAAAAAAGAGGTGAATGGAATAGTAGTAGACAGGTTATTTTAAGAATTTGTGGGCTGAACAAATGTGACTTTGTTATTGATGGGTCGGAGATTGTAAAAATCATTAAATAATATTAAATAGAAATAGGTATGCATGTCCTTCTATCATTAATTTTTTTTACAATTTTCCAATGACATAGTCCAAACTTTTTTTAATCTTTAAAGCTAATATTTGAGACAGTGTTATTGTATAAAGGCTTAAGTTGCTCTCCAAAACAATGAGAGAAATACTGTGATTTTCTTTTCATTGTTGTTAGATAGTGTGTCTCAAACTTACAGTCTTTAAGGTCTTTGGTTCTTTATAAAAATTGTGACATTTTCATGTTAATTAATTTATTAAGAATTTGGTGGGAGAATGACAAAACACAAAGCAACATAAATTTTAAATATATAGAATCTTTAGCAGAAGATTATTTTAATATCAGCAAAGTAAAGAACATACAAAAGGATTTTAAGGAAAAGGTAGCGTGACCTTAAAGGAATTTGTACTCTTTGGTCTCCATACATGTGCAGTTCTCAGAGAGTTCCCTGGCTCCAAGTGTTTATTCACATCTGTCAGCTAAATCACAGATCCAAATGCAAAACGTAACACTCAGGAACATTATGTGGATTTGTGACATTCCCTGGAGGACTTTGGGTCCATAAAGCAATGAATGGATTATAAGAAGACATAAATATGGTATTTTCATCTATGACAGATGCAATCTTGCTCCAGTGTTATTTATATGATATAAAGGAAAACTGAACCTATTTCCTCAGTTAAACTGAAAGAGGGCTCACTATTAATTTCCAGTTCCTCTGAATTCATCTTTGAAAATGTCATGTTTTGGACATTTTTTAAATGGCTGATGTTTGTTTATTTATTTATTTTATATGCACATGTAAGTGAAAAAATTGAACCAAAGGGAAAATATGAGATGGAATTGTGATGATAGCAGAATAATAAATTTTTCATTTTTTGCCATTACCTTGAATCAGGCAAAACTTACCTAATTTTGGATTTTAATGGCCCACAGGACACTGAGACCAGCTTCCTATAAAACCTTTTTGAGTCTCTTAACATTCTTTGCATCTTCATCGTTAGTTCATGGTAGGAAGGTGCTGTGTTCTGGAAAGAGCATGGGTCTTGAATTAAGAGGAGCAATGCTCTAATATTAACTATACCTACCCTCTATCCTTATAAGCTTGAAGACCAAGCATTGAACTAGAAGATGCCTTAAGCTTCTCTGAACAAAATTTTGTACTTTGTTCCAATCAAGATATCCCATGTCTTTTTGTGTTAGCCCTAAAATTTGGAAACTAATCATCAGTGAAATAGTAGTATGTCATTGTATAAATTTTATTTTCATAATGTATAAACTTGGGCCAGGCATTGAAGTAACTATTCTGAGTATTTTATATTGGACCTATTTTCTTGTTCAAAAAAGAAAAGAAGGGATGGATACTCTAATTCATAACTGCTACTTAAAAGAAGTACAGCTTAAAACTTTAGCTTTATATCTAGCCAAGAGATGTGTAAGAATATGCTCCTTCATTAATGTGGTTATAAATGGCAAAATACTTATCAGATAGATTTAGAAAATAATTTCATATTCTTATTTCAAAAATCAGAATCAATCAGAATCATAATGTTTTGTGATGTGAAACTGATTTCAAATACTTCTTTAATGACACGTGGCAGTCATATTCTGAATCCCTTAAACGTTGGCAAAAATTAAAAGTGCTTAATTAAATCAGGATTATAAAATTAAAAATATTATTATTCCTTTAATCTCCACACCACCCCCCCGATCTCCACTCACTGAAAAGCTTTGTTCTGAAGAAAAGCATCAGGATTTGTCCACCAAAGCAAAGAAGAACCTTTAATTAAATTCCGTTCAGCAAAGTTACTGGGTCTCTTTTAGATTGTTGGAGTAATATCCTTAATTCTGTCCTGTTGAGGAAGTAAAACATAACCCATGCAAACAGGACAGGTTTTCATATATAAATTCTATATAACTAATTTAAACTTTATACTAAAATATTGAGCCAATTTAAGAAAAATTTCCCATGTTCAATTTTTGATTAATGATTTTAGCCAGTGAAGTGTCAAGTATGAATTATTCTGTTGTTATCACTGCAAAATGATGTAAATAGCATTGGACTGTTAAAACTTTAAGAATGCTGGCATTCACATACTTTCAAGAATTGGTCAGTTTTATCTCTAAATTTTATCTAATACATACAGTGTAATCTTGTTCCAGGCTTCCATTTCATTTAAAAACTAAATTATTAGTTATTTGGTATACCTTTAGAATTATTTCAAGCTTTTGTATCAGTATTTGAACCAATTTCAGTTTTAATTAACAGAGCTTTAAGTTGTATATTTTTAGGTGTTCTAATTATTTATCTTCATATAAAATTTTCAATGTCCTCCCAATGATGTCAACTTTAAAAAATCCTCCCAAGACTGATAAAATTATGTTAGGGAAAAAAGAATAGTTCAGGACTGATAAATATTTTAATTTATTGGCTAAAACTGATTAAGATATAATGAATTTATTTTGATGGACAGTATGACATAGTGGAACAGTAGCTTATCAGTATATGTGAAATTCAGTTTTATCTCCTGTAAAATATGGCCAAGGATTTCAAATATTTCCTAAAGACAGAAAATAATATCTTTGGTATAGAAAGTTGCCACCCACTAAAAATGTTGAATTAGTTTTCTTTTTAAGATTATTTCTGATTTTTTTCATATTATTTCAATATTTTACATTATCCTAAATTCTATTTGAATATCTAATAGGGTCTTAAATAACTTGACACCTGGTTTGGTTTTGTCATATTATCCTACCCTTTCTTTCTTCTCTCTGTTTTTTCTTATTTAAAATTCCAGAAAATAAACAGTAAGCTTGAATTTTAATGTCATCCTTATTAGTTTTAGCTGTTATTGAATTATAACCAACTTTTAACACTTTAGAGAGTTTCTTGTTGCCCCTCTTAATATTCTATTGCATTATCATGCATCTGAGTAATTCTGGAATAAAAACCTTGGAGCGAGTTAAACTTAAGGATACCTTAAGAGAAAATTGATATGCTTACCTTACTCATTTTTTCTACTTAGTAATATGGAGTATCTCTTCATGGCTTTCTGGTTTTTAATTGGGCATTTAAAAGGCATTTTTATGCTTTTTAATTGAGTTTCTTGGTTTTCTTAAAATACACACAGGTACACACACACACACACAACCTCACAACTCTCACATTAATTGAAACCTTAAATGCTTAGTTTTGTTTACTGCTCTCCTTACCGGAAGAATCACCTTTCACAAAGAATGGCTGGCATAGTGGAATGCTTTAGATTGAAATGTAAGGGCAAAATGTGTGCGTGTGTGTGTGTGTGTGTGTGTGTGTGTGTGTGTGAGTTTCTTGGTTTTCTTAAAATACACACAGGTACACACACACACACACAACCTCACAACTCTCACATTAATTGAAACCTTAAATGCTTAGTTTTGTTTACTGCTCTCCTTACCGGAAGAATCACCTTTCACAAAGAATGGCTGGCATAGTGGAATGCTTTAGATTGAAATGTAAGGGCAAAATGTGTGCGTGTGTGTGTGTGTGTGTGTGTGTGTGTGTGTGTGAGCACGTGTGCACCTTTGCATGTGGGTAAATGCCAGATTATAAAGCATGAAGGCTTATTATTTCTCAGAGGTGTAAAAGGTAGTTCACAGACTCACAATTTCCCAAAGACACAGGATTACTCAAAGACGGATTCCTTTAGGACAAAGCTCAGTAACTCTAGAGAGCTGTATAGCTGCTGGTACCATTTGGAGTGTCTCTGCAATCCTGAAAACTGAAAATAAGCCTAAAATGTATTGGAGGGAACCAAGGGAAAAGCTCCCTGAAAGGAAATGGAAGTTATCGAGCAACACAAACTTGCTAGAACCTTGTATGCTGCTCACATGGGAGTAGGACTTTGGAAGACATTATTATAGGACAAGAAACATCTGGGGGGATAGGGAATAAAGGGCATTTCTTTTCAAAAAACATAATTTCTTATTTCTCATCAATCATATCTATATATTCTCCCTTCATTCCTTCCCTCTGGATGCCTCATTTCCTACCTAATATGGAAAGAGTATCTTTCTGTCACACCCCTCTCTGCTGCTGCTCCCCTCAGCCTGCGCATTGGGTTCAAGGACTAACCCTGGCGAGGCCCTCAGGGAAGAAGGAAGCCTGTCCCTGCAGTGCTGGCATCCTCCCACAGCCTGTGA